CTTTTCATGCAAATTTCCCAGGGCAAAAACTTCTCTGATGAATTATGTAGGAAAAGGCTGATTCAGAGGTGAACGACAGCTGTGAGTCGGCTTCAGACTGATCACCTACTTAGGTGTACTAAAGAACATTAATCCAACTAATTGGCAAGTGACAAATCACCATATACAAGGTTCGAAATGGTCAGCTTAAAGCCACGAGTCAGGATTAGGGAACATTAGGAAGTCCTTTATAGGGTGCAAAAGTGGGGTCTCCAAGCAGAGGGGGTGTGAGGCTGTCGCGACAAAGAAGTGCGCGGCAAAGGCGCTAGGGCCTTGCATTGTGTGCTGCCGTGCTGCGAGAATTTCCCGGCAGCACGGATCGCCCACCGCGGGATGTGGTGCGTGGCTGGCCTAACGTGTGAGATCAGCTAGGTTGATTGCCGTATCAACCGATGGAACGGCTGGCATATCCGGAAAACTCGTTTGGACGTGGCTCTCCCCCGAGCAAGCCTCCTTCACTGCTAGAAGGGAAGGGGTTTCGATTTCGGTCTTGTCGACGGTTTCTTTGCGTTTTTTCTTCACTGTCGTTCCACCTCCCATCTCTACACTCAATTTCAGGCGCCATAATGCCCAAACACGAGCCTGACTTTTGCCTTTAAAGCAAGGAATCTTACGAAGAGCTAATTTGGAGGTCAAGTTGGTGTTGGTGTTTGCAGGAAAATTTATTTGTCCAGACGGCAAACCAGTGGTCTAATTGGCTGGTAGAAGTGAGCCAAAGCCGAGCCAAGTGACGAAGGTCTGGCTGTCGCCAGGGTTTTTCTATTGTCTTCTTTTTTTGTTCTTTTTCTATGTTTTTTTTCTTATCTTTCTTTACTCATGATTACTTTCTCCTCAACAAATCGGCAGGAGGAGTCGGCATTATCGATGAGAATTATAAGAAAGAGCTCATTTCTTTCAAATACTTTCATGGTTTCTATCATAAAAGGTGCCTTCTTTCACTGTCCAACAGCAAGTAGCTTGGACGCTTGGAAGAAACATTCAAATCAGGGTCTTTCATAACCGCGACACTGGGGCCGAGCCCAGAAGAGAAGGGGGAGGCCCAGGAGAATGAAGATTGCCCAAATCCTCTTCCGGAGCCCCAACCTCTCCAAAAGACATAGTCCGAAGTACTGTACCAGGCTCACACATTTGAATGTCTCCCTTAACTGACGTGAGCGTCGCTTGAAGTTTCCCTTATGCTGAATCAGTACCTATTCTGAAGAGTTAATAACTGGGGATTGTTTGACTGTCCGGAGCCTTCGTCCTGCGTACATAGAATCGGACTGTATTTCGAAACCGCTTGCACTTATGGTGTCAACCAGATTTAAGATAGCATAGAGCCTCCATCTAATCATATGTTGCATGCAATTTACAAAACTTTTTACAATTTCTCCGACAAGTAAAAGGTTTTATAAACTTGACCCAAATCTCACACAATTTGAATGCGCGACATTTTTGAGATGATTTCCATTTTTTCATAAATCAAAGCTCTTTTCCTTTTAATTATCACCCCTAAAAGCGAAACAACTGGTTACACATCAAATTCATTTTCGTTGAACAGTACTAATCTACACGAAGAAAATCAAGTGAGCATGTATCATTAATTACCATAGGCAAAACCTCAGAATATTTAAGGTTGTCGGAACGTTTTTGTTGTTCTTCTTTAGTACAGCCAACAGTTGCTGAATACATACACCATCATAATCGTCGGAACATTGCTCTTCAGCAGGCAACTTCAGGTTGCCGGCCGTTCAGAAATCCCGGGTCTTTGGGGCGAAAAGCTCAAAGAGGTTGACTCCGAGTAGGTCCGGATCATCGAACTGCCCCTAATTCAGTACCTTCGACGGCAACAGAAGCGTATGGTAGCCCGTCTCTACCAGGTTTGCTGTACACACTAAGTGGGTCAGATCATTCTATAACGAGCTTGGAAACTCTGGGATTGCCAGAAAAAAGCGCAAAAAAATTTCCCTGAGGAGTGAACTTTTCCGTTTTCAATTAACTCTACAGCATTTAAAGCGTCGAATGGTTGCACTTTGCAATTTTTGTTTATGTAATTTTTGTGAATAAATGTAGACATGTATGAAACCAAGAATGTCGAAATCAGAGAAATGCAGAAAATTGTCTCAATTGTGGAAACCTCGCCTGAACCTTCTTCGCAATTCGTAGGCGAGCCTTGCCGACATAAAGTAAAGTTTCTTCGATTTTCCGGCACCATGGCGGGGAACCGATCCACTTGCCCATATTACTGTTCCGCAGTAGCAGCGACTTCGTTGCAGACGCTCCGTGAGCGGAATTACTTATGCAGCCGCTAGAGCTTTCAAGTTCGCTCACCAATTGAGTGTTCTCTAAATCGGCGTAAAAAAAACCTTTATTCTTATGCAACCGAGAGCGTGGCTTTGTCTCGTGCGGTTTATCTGTGGATCCCGATTTCTCTACACCACCAACACAAAGTTGGCTTGATCAAGCGATTATGTTGGGAGGCAATCAAAAATATCCTCTGATAATTTTTGTGTAGTCATCAATTGCCTGTGGTCAGGGTCGGATCGGGGGGCCGAATTATCTTTTCGCCCATAATTTCACTTCTTTTAGAGGCGATATTGAGAAACGGCCATTGTGGTCTGGTAGCACTGAAAGAGCTCCGCCAATTACCGTGCATTGCACTAACACTCTCCAATCGAATTCAGAATACACTCGTCAATGAAGGATGGCAGGCCGACCAGATTTGTGGTTTTTTCTCAAGTATCTGGAACTCGGCAACCAAATAATTGGCATATTGTGAAAGATAGTTCGGAGGTTCATCACAACACGTAGAACTCCCACTGCTTCGCTTCAATCGACGCATTTTGTGGGCTTATAAAGGCAGGAGCAGTCGAACATACCTTCAGTGAAAGGCGATTTTTAAGCTTCAAACGCTGCGAAATGCTACGACAGAAATGCTGTGGAGAGAGCATTAACCACCGCTCACATGCGTTTAACAGTGAATGTTTCAAAACGATCCCAAAAGATTTTGCAAAGGTGAAAAAGTAAATGCGCAAGAACTTCCCGACCAATCTAATCAGAAAATATTTGCATTCAAGTCAACTGGAATTCATGTCAGGGTGGAATTTCGCTCTGAATGTAACACATTTTACCTTTTTGTCTGGAGAGATTTTTTTCTCAAGAATCTCTCAAACTGCGAGTTTTTGAGAACTCATTGGCGGCTGTGTCATTTTTACCAGCAGTGTACATAGTATGGGTGGAATTCGTGTCACCTGAGGCGGCGCCAAATCGCATTAATGCGATAATGGCCATTGATGCGATATGGGACACATGGATTGACTACCACATGGGTCAATGAAACTTTACACAGAGCAAGGTTCACTGTTGCTTGATGAAATGTGGAAGGTCCATCCGAGGGTCAATACAACCATTTTTGATGTTTTTTTTGCATATTGTTTCATCCTATTTTGTCTACCATTTTAGAAACAGCGACTTGAGCAGTTCTCAAGCGTGTTATGGCAAAAGGTAAACATGCATGTAAACAGCACCTCAGCTCTTAAAGGAATGTCAATACGTGGCGAAGCGGAGTGAAGTTGAAAACATTTTTTGTTTCTGTTTACTGCTGTTTTTCGCTGCAGTTCGTTATGCCAACGTTATTATGGAAAGATTCTGAGCATTGGCAAAACATTTTGCCTCTTTCAGAGCTCGAATTCGTATCTCGTACTTTTCGGGCCAAGTGCTGACCAATGCACCACTAATGTAATGTTGGTTTCAGCTCAGTTTCCTATTGTGTATTTAACAAATTGGAGACCGCGCACGTTTAGGCTTGATGGCCGCTCAGAACTTCAGAGTTCTAGAAGGCTTATTGAGCAAATTGAGAAGAAAAACTCATCGTGTGATTTGAAGAAAGACTTTTTGAATAAGATTCCAACAAAAGCAGGACTTACCAGGGAAGTCTTTCAGGTCATGGAGCGCTTCTTCAAAACAGTTTTTCGCATGTTATAGGGGCACGTGCGGGGATCATAGAATTGATAACGATTTTTTCAGATCGGCTTTGGGTTGCCAGAAAAAGCGTAGGCCGATGTCAGACTTTGCGAATCGCGCGATTCGCTAGCGTCTGCGGTCGCGTCGCGGCCAGTGAATCACTCAATTGGCTGGTACCGCAACGCGACCGCGGACGCTAGCGAATCGCGCGATTCGCAAAGTCTGACATCGGCCTAAAAAGCTTTTCTTGAGAAGTGGAAGTTTTCCGTTTTTGTTGCACTTTGGAAGATTTTTTTACTGAATAATTTAGACACACATATATGAGACCAAGAATGTGGAACTCAGAGAAATGCAAAAATTCGTCCTAAGTGGGGATCAAACCACAAGCCTTGGTTCCACAAGCCTAGGTTCCAACGGTTTTTAGCATTCCCAGAGCAGCTCAGAAAAAAAAATTGTTTCCAGTGTTGCTTCCTGTGCGTGTCTCTATAGCACGCAAAAACCGTTTTGAACAAGTGCTTCATATCTTGAAAGATTTCCTGGTCAGTTCCCCCTTGCCAAAACATAGCCTGCAAGGTGTCATGTGGCCGGCAGGCAGCTCATTGTCTCAGTGTGATAAAACGGATTATCAACGCCCTAACGGGCTAGGTATTAGCACATATGGCCAAATCGCAAGCCGTTAATCGGCAAACTTTGGTAGATATTGCCCGATTTGAATTTTTTAACACCTTATGTTGAATCTTTATCTTCTGTACAGCTATTGTGATGCTCAATTCAATGAAACAATGAGAATTACATCAAAAATGATTGAAAGAAGTTGGCAACCTTCCAAATGGTTCACATTTATGTACAGTAGTTACAAGAGGAAATGGTAACAAAGCAATAAATTACACAAAGATCGTAATACCTGTAAGGTTTGTTCTACAGTGAGAAGCAGTGAAGTTCAGAGGAAAATCCTCATTCAAAGCGTATGAATCGAAATTCGAGCTATGTACATGAGAAAATCGGTAGAAACTTCAAAATTAGATGGATTTCGCAAGTTTGGCGAGTTTCACGATTGGCATGGCTGGACGAGATGGTCCCGGCACAACTGGATGTAGTCCACCATCAGCCACGGGAGGAGGAGGAGGAGGAAGAGCAGCTCCCACATTAGCCGGGTGGAGAACTGGGCTGGCAACTTTAGGAGGTACAACAGCTTCAAGAGGTATAAATTCCTGAAACAGCACATTCGTAGAAGCTGGCAGATTATATGAGGCGATGTTGACTCACCGACAAAAGTGGACTGCCTTGAGCCATCACTAGTGCGATAGCTGATCTATCGTTCGCGTCAATGTTTTGCATGGGAGAGGGTTTACCACGATTTGATGCAGATTTTGGTCCCAAATGCTGCACGCTGGTGATCGGGTCAGTCTGCTCGAACGGGAAGGTGGCATCGAATTTCATGTATTCTGGAAAGAAACCATATTTTGGAAATTTCCTCAAAGATGGTTTAAAGAGGTTCCTATCAATTTTGACGATGGTTAGTCACTCACCAGTCAGGTCAAGTCCACCGCTGTGGTCATGATCGTATGAGTAGAAGAGCTTGGGAAAGTTCTCGCGTGGCTTGACAAGGAATCGTTCGGCGAGAACCCTTTCCAATTCATTCTGGTTGAGCGACATGTCAAAGTCTTCATCAAAGTCCTGAAGGACAAAAAACTGTTTTCTTTCGGACTGGTTTCAGACAGAAAACGATGATTGAGTTGATCAAAGATTGGTTGCTGTCCGGAGTAATCAAGAAAGAAAGAACATACATGGAAAACTTCGGCAAAATATTCCGTACGTCGTGCTTCACTTCTGCTGGTTACTCCATGGTAATGCTCTTCGTATTCTTTCAATGTCACGATACCATCCTCTGGAACAGATGGGTTACGTAACCCAGCTGCCCAAATCGGACCAGGACAGACTTACTGTCTTTGTCCAGCGAGTCGAATTCTTCCTTCTTGGCGTCCACGTAGGCCAGCTCCATGTGCAGGAACTCATTGAAGTCTAACTTCTTGTCCTTGTTCTGATCAACTCGAACGAACTTCTCCTCTGAAACATATTCTGCTTAGCACCGTTCTGTGATTTGAGGGGTAAATAAGGGAGAAAAAATACAAAAGGTAGTTAAATGGGCCATAAAAGGTGACTTGGCTCGTTCCGCCTTCACTGAGACGAACCACAACAACCGCCGCTTTCGCTAAGAGCATTAAGAGCGCCTGAGTGAATTCCCTAACGGTGATAAGAAGAAACCTGTAGCTCATCCTTGCGCTGCCATTTTTCCGACAAGAAATGCTTGGAATGCTGTCAATGATGGTAATGGACAGTGTCCCAGATTCCGATGTTATTCTCCCTTAAACGGCCAAACCCGTACGGCGCACATTCCACAAACATCACGTTCGCAGAACATCCACTAATGGATCACTAACAACAAGCAAAAAGTCTGTGATAAGACGTGAATCCATTCGGGATGCGCCATGCATTCTACTTCCATTCCTAGTCGCAGTGAACTTTGATACCATCTAACTTGTGAAGCTTCATTTGGTTTGTGATTTATCACTTCCACACAATTTTCCACCAATTACCGACCCAGGAGGAAGTGCAGGGCATAGTGGGCTTGAGCAGGGCTCGAACCAGGGTCGGTCCTACCGTTGCAACTTTTCCGAAATTTTTTACGACCCCCCTTTACCAATCAAAAATTTCACGACTCCCCCCCCCTTCATCACCCTCGCCATCCCATGGTCGCTATTTCTTACTTATTACTTCTTACTTCTCGACCGCTATTCGTCCCGGGCACGCCAGAAACGCAGGTCGCACATCTTCCAGGTCGCTCTGCTTCGGGCTCTTCTGCGCCACAACTGGCCGTACATCTTCACGAGAGGGTCTGCCCATCTGGTGGGGGGTCTGCCCGCGATGACCTACGGGGCGGAGACGTGGAGCACCACAGTCTCTGAAGAGGAGAAACTCGCAGTCACTCAGCGAGCCATGGAGAGGGCCATGTGCGGGGTAACGCTCCGAGACCGCATACCCAATGACACCATCCGCGCTCGTACGATGGTGAAGGACGTCGTCGATGCCATCTATAATTCCAAGCGGAGGTGGGCCGGTCATGTGGCTAGACTTACCGATGATCGCTGGACGAAGAGAGTGACTGACTGGTACCCAAGGGGAAAAACAAGGCCCAGAGGCAGATCGTATTATCTACAGTATTTAATTCTGAGACCAGGCGACACACCTGACTCCACCCACTTTTCCCTAAAACAGCCGTCGAGGGGAAATATACGCACCCGGGGGGGGAGTGGGGTTAAACGACGAAATTTTTCTCGCTCCTTCACACTACACACCCTAAACTCACCCATGAATCCTATGATTACATCGCATACGACCCCTACAATCTTAGCAATAGCCACAATACAATCTTCAACTAAAGTTACGACTCCCCTTGGTACTTGTCGCAACATCGGATTGACCCTGGCTCGAAGCGAGACTGATTACATAAGGAGCATGTGGGCAGCGGCACCACGTGTCACCATCCCCCCACCAATGCAGGAGAATCGAAATGAATTTTTCTGATTCCAAAGCTTTGTTCATAGGCTCACATAGGGCTCTACAGTACACATTCTGGCTACGTTTACTTTTGACTACTATACTAACTCAAAACAGGGGAAAATTTCAGATTTTCAAAATGTCAAAAAGTTCCACAACAATTTCTCGGGTTCGAGAATAAAATTTCTCTAAAGATTCTTATCTGCATCTGGTTTCCTCTTATCACTACTGGAGCTGATACCAGCAGCGCTTCCTGCCTATGTTACCTCTCACCGGAACATCTCTCTCGTGGTAAAGTGTCTTCGACATGAATCATCCCTAAAGATAACGCTAGTGGTAGTAAGCGGGAAAAGTTGGAGCAGACTGAGGGTATGCAGTTGCTAGTTCTTGGAGGGGGGTTGAACAGGCATGCCCGTTCGTAAAAACAGAAATTAATTGTAGAGATCTCAGAGCCTTTCATATACCCATGTGGGAACAGGCCTGAACCCCAATTCCCTCACGAGCCCACATAGGGACAATAATATTTGGAGTGTGTGCGACAGCGGGCGCAAACTGCCTCACCACCCGTAGGTATCCGTACCTTGGTGTTGCAGCTCTCAAAAGACATTGAAAATTTGACACAACAAAAATGCTTTGAAGATTGCCGCACACCGGTTGAAATCGCGTACCGAGAGATGTTTGATCCATGTCTCTCCGTTATCTGCTATCTCCTCTATTTAAGGGCATGGGAAAACAGTTGTGTATCGCATCAGTGGAAGGAAAAGAGGACAATTGCTAAGATTCAGGCGTTTTTCCCACTAAAAACCATCGATAATTTCCCACTTAACCTGATTCGACATTATATAGCGGTAAGATGTCCGATCGAGACAGCAAAAAACTTGAAAGGAAGGTTCCATAAATTGGACGTCGAAGAAGTGGAAAATTCATCAACTATTAGGAATAGAGGCATGTCTCTTAAGGAAACGAGATGATGCACGTTTCAAAGCGAAGGGTAAGCCCCCTTCGGCCCTGCGGAAGCGCACAGGCGGCACACGCCGACTGGCTTTCCTCCTGCCGTAGGCTCTAACTTCGGACAGTAGCCGTTTAGCAGAGACGCCGAGCAGAGTGTCATGTTGGTGACGTCAGCAGCAATAAGACCGTCCCAAGGCCGAAAGCAATGGGGAGAATGGGGGTCCCAATTCACTATTCTGATGTTTTTTCCCTTCATCTCCGCATTACCATCTCTACCGATCACCACTGGGCGACCAATTCATCCGCTGGTAAGTCGGGAAAGGAGTGGAGTTAGTAGAGGGGCCAACATATAAAGGTACCCATTCGAAGGGACGTTGTCCCCAAAGTAATTCCACCTTTCCCATGGAAAGCCTGGTTTTTCTTGAAAAAGCCCGTTTTCCGAAAAGGAATTCCTGCTTTCCCTTGGTAAGCCCGATTTTACTCGGGAAATTCTGGTTCTTTGGGACCTATGGATCCAGCGGTGGTAAGGGATCGTGTTAAGTTTCTCAGGCGTTTAGTATGGTCAAGTATCTCTTTCGTCTGACACCCCCGTTGCCCTTACTACGCTCTTCACTCCCCTACCCTACTATCCCTTATTATCTGGGATCCTACTGCTGTGAGCAAAAGAACAAAGAAAGCACGAAATGGTATTCAAACCTAACAATCCTACGCTAATATTGACCCACTTAACTTAAGGAATAAAGATAAATATTTTACCAAAGCGATTTCTGGGATTGCCATCAACAATTTCAAATCCACACACCCCAATTTTAAAATCCTAGCAAACCCATGTCTGATTCAAAACATTCAAATATTGAAAGCCGGACAGATAAAAACCTCAAATTATCAATGAAACGTACGTACCGTGATTTTCCTGCTTGGCATTGAAGCCGGGCAGGTTGAATTGCTCTTCAAGTGCTGGCAGTGGTGCACTCAGTACAGTACAGCAAAGTACAGCTAGCAGTAGCAGCTCCATTTCCCAATGTTTTCGAATCGGAGACGAGATGTCTGTGTTCTGGGCAGTGATGTTCTCGAGGCGTTTTATAGCTGGCCCGTATTAGTCATCAGCTGTTTTCGCCTAAGAAATGGGGCGTGGTTCGGAGCGTCTACGCGCCCTCGAATCGCTTAACACTGATGCGCGAACGGTGTCAACATCCCGTGCACTTTCGAATGCGTTCTCTGGACTATCACCTTAAGAAAGCACTGACAATCAAAGCAAGCTGAAGCGTTTCTCGTATTTTTGATGGTTGGTGTCTTCAGGCCTTGCAGCAGACTACGGGAGGTATTCCCCCTTAAAGGAATCTTGCGCGGAAAATTCTTGCACTCTTTCCTAACATGAATATGTCAGTTGTGATCACTGGAAATAGCACACAAAGTTTCACGCATGAAGATTCGGTTTCTGAAGAGAAACAAACGTACAAAAACTACACGTTATGGACCATCGAAGGACCAGGAGGCAGAGCCAGGCGAGGCATGGAAAGAAGACGGCGTTTGGCCGGCTACGTACCAGGCGACGCAATGAGAGAATCGGGTTAAAGCGCGCGATTTCGGAGAGTGGAGACAAATCGATCGATGGAATAGGATGGAGTAGAAGTGTAAGATGTGAATGCAACGAAGCAGAAGGCCAGAAAGAGCTTCTAGGCCGTTAGCAAAAGGCAAGAATTCACCGATACCTCTGGGAAAAGCCAAATGTGAGAAGTTGAACACAGCTTTGTTTTGACAGTTGGCTGCGCTATGCAGACTTTCATTGATTACTAATAAATTACTGAGGCTACCGCTTTTTCAGTGCCTTGACTTCGCTGAGAAGCTTATGGTTGGTCCAGTCGGGGTTGCCAAGCTCAGAGGATTTGAGCCTCTGGCTAGGCTAAGCAATCTCACCACCAACTTGGGGCAGCACCACCTTCGACTGATACGCCATCTTGAGAGTGAAGTACTGCAAAGTACTGGTGTGGAGTGAATATATAACTGCTCTCCTCCGTCCTCAGTTTGCAGGTGAACTACTATTGCCTACTCAGGCGATAACCCAAGGTATGCAAATCCTGATATTCCAAACGCAGCCTAACGGAAGGGTGAAATGAAGCTCAGCCTTATGGAAGGTGTCTGCGTTGTTTTTACTGGTAAGAAAAAAGGAGGAATGTCTGGACTTGATGTTGACTGTTAAGAATGAGCTACACTTCCGGTGCCCATTCAATTGCGGTGATAATGGAAGAAAACTGGCTCAGCCGAGAAGGTGCTGCTTCCGACAAATGAACATAGTGCTGACCTCTGTTGAATTCGACTCCACTGATTCAATCAGGAGAGGTAAACGGCGACGGCGCCCGCTCCTATGAAATTTGTTAGAGCTATGAGGTGCCTCTAAGTTTCACGATACTACCTTTGGTCATCTTGTTTCAAGGCTTTTTCCCTTGAGTGTGGCGTGTACAAGCCAACAAGACGACCCAGTATTTAACCATTAGGCGGAAAGCTTAGATTCTTCAGCGAAAGTCGTAGATGTACGTAGTGCATTCCTTTGCCATCAATCAGGCCTGAGTGCTTGATTCCGTCATTTGAACACGTCTAAGATGAAGAAGAAACCCAGCTAGCGAAATTGGACTGGAACTGATGGCTCAAGCATCTCAAACATGTCATTTACGAACTCACTCATTAAATGTCACTCACACTTGAAGTGCCTTAGGCAATATCAAGACGAGCTGTTGCCACGATTAAAATCTCCGCATTCTCTACATATCACCAGCGTCACCAATTCTGGCGTCCTTTCGAGGGCCATGAGGGCTTGTTTGAGGCAACGCTTCGACCAGGTGATATTGGAGAATGTAAATAGATAGAAGAAAATACTGCTTACTGTTTGTTCTATAAATAACATTAATCTGAAGGCTCAGTCTCTTCCCGCACATGATTGTGCTTTCTAGTTGGACTGAATTGCTAAAAAGTCAAATTTTGTAAATCTGTGCATCGACTTATTACGGATTTAAATGCTTTGATGTCGACTGGTGTGTGTTGGGTAATGAGGGTAGTTTATGGAACGTAAACATATTTTTAGTCTAGGTATATATTATTGAGTGATAGAATCCATGCTTCATTGATATGGTTTATGACTTAGGAGGAGTAGGCGCCATTGTTTTTTAAAAATCATGGAAAAGTATTGGAAAAGCCAAAACGGCGAAACGAAAGTGTCCATAAATTTTTTTGAACGAACAAAAGTTGGCTGGTTGTGAGGTGGTCTAGTGGTAGTGTCGGTGGCGTATATGAAGCGTTATGCAACGGGATTCTGGGGCATGACTTGATGACAAAATTATCATCCACCCTTGATGCGCAGCTGCTTAGGTGTGGCACTTATTTGAAGTTGCGTCTGAATTAGAGAATTCAAAATTTTGTCACCAAAGGGAATCGAATGTGGGACCGTTTTGGACGCTACTAACCTCTTTGACAGGTTCACATAGCATTTTTTATCTTTACATTTGTGAACATCATCTCAGCTCTATTGACTCACCTCGTACTCAGTTCAGCGTCCATGGGATGTTGGCACTTTGTCTTTCAGATTACCGTACGGTAAATATTTCCCTGGACCTGCTTATCGTGCTATTGAAAAGTTCTCTTTTCATGGTCAACGGACTGGACACAGCTCCATGCTCAGGACAGGGAGGTGTGTACTGGACCCTATTCGACTCTGTTTCGGACTTATTTATTGGAAGACATGGCCAAACGCTACCGATAAGATCCAGTAACCATAGTCTCCGTGGATTCACTGTAAGGGGATATTTGAAAAAGCTAAAGTTATAAACAACCGTTTCGTTATGTTGTGTGATATTGTGGGATGCAGCGGTCTGAGTGGGTTGAGTAGCTTGACCTAAGTAGATTGAATACCTCCATCTGCAGGCAGCGCAAAATGCTTCTGTTGCAACTGCTGATTTTCTGCAGTTTAATAAGTAGTACGAAAATATTTTTTTTTATTGTTGTGGGACGTATTTCGTCGAAATATGTGTCCGGTAGATACAGGAAGGAAAACGTTGGAGTGTGTTGGCGTTGTGTTAGGAAGGAAAACGGCGGATCGGCATGGTCTTATATTATAAAAGGAGTACGTATGACAAAAAGTCGTGATGAAGTATATGCTATTGAATCAAGGAAATTTATGAGTGGAGTCATGCTTTGTATTCTTGTGTTTCTTGGTTGACGTCGTTTGTTTGACCAACTCAAAGATGACGAATATCTAGGGCAAAATATCTGGGTTTTGCGAAGTGCATTGCAACATAAATGTCCTCCGTCGAGGAATGCTTGGTACCTGTTTCTCTTGCGGTTTTCTGTTAATGAGGTGGATGGTTCCTTTTGAGTGCGCAAAACTTCGAGTTTAACACTTTTATCTTGAAAAATGGTAGGGAGAAAAAATGATTTCGCGATGCCTCTTTGACACGCCGCTTATAACCTACCGTAGTGCGGCGGGTCATAGTTGTTGTGGGTTGTATGAGTTATATTGAGTTGTTTGTGGGCGCGGACGAGTGTCATATTTCGGATGAGCACATGCGCACTGCTCTCAACTCAAAGTCACTTGATAGCGCATTCCGCAACTGCAATAACTTTGACAGATGAAGTCGGCTGACGTCGGCAGACGAACTGAACTTTGATTTGAACTTCATGTGAAAGCGCACGGAATCGGTGTAATTTTGGAGGAGGTTGACGAGCCAGTTCTATATTGCTTTTTTTGACAACTGTTTTGCCATCGGCATGCAATGTCACAGGCCTGCTGAGTAGGGCAAAATATGATCGTACGACAGGGTCGGTCCTATCGTTGTTACTTTTTCAAAAACTTTTACGAACCCCCTCCAAGGTGGACTGTGATACGACCACCTTTTCGACACCTCGACCACCTCGACCCTTATCCATAGTAATCCATAGTATTTAATTGTGCTGCCACTCAACCCACGAAACTCCGCCCACTTCTTCCACCAAAATTGCCGTCGAGCGAGGTGGGAGATGAGTTCTACGGGGGTATATACGCACGCTGAATTTCTCTCCTATGCGCTCCCAACTCACCCAGCCTACTACCCGTGAAAACTCCACTTTCACCACAAACTCACATGTAATTTCACGCGACTGTAGCGGATGCAACCCCCTCCCCGCTTTGCAGTTAACAACGGCTAGCTGACCCGCAGTACAAGTGTACGGGTATGTCACTAATCCCGAGCGGTGCTTTTGCTTACATGGTCACCTTATCTTTGCAGCGTTAGAAAACAGTTCTAGCCTCATTTTTCGCAGCCAACTCAGGACAAGATGCAAAATGTGATCCGAAGGAGTCCGATTTTTTAGATAAAGTGGACTCATACAACATTGGGAGTTCCTTCTCTATCGCCATGGCCACAGTGACCGGTACCTGTTTACTTGTCAAGAAGTATCAGTCCCATCTATTCGATGTTAAGATTATGCTTCTTTTAGCTATTCATGACTTTTTCGCTTAGACTACAAAATTTGAAACAAATTATCTTCGGTTTCGAGTAGAAATGTTGGTTTTGTCGAGCAGAGCATAATAAGCGTTGAATGAATCCGCCTAGATCGTTGGTACAGCTTTCAAAACCGGAGGACGACAGCGTCAAACGCCGTGAATGGAATTGGTCCGGAGCAAGAGCGTCAGAGCTGCCGCAAGCTGGCTCGGCAAAAGCTTTCAGTTTTCCTCGGGCAACAGACTCCTTCTTCTTCGCGCTTCACTATTGCGCTCTCTCGCCCCATATTCTTCTCCCCACGCTCAGTCTCTCATTGCCTTAGCACAGCCGTCTTTAGGAGGTGAGCAAATCCTCAACCTACCCGTTTTCGACTGATTCTTTCCTATTTGCCCTGCAGCCATCAAATTAATACCTCCATTTTCCTGTTCACGTTCGAGGTTTGAGGAAAGATGCTTAAAGTTTTTTTGTAGCTGAAGAATGTCTAACAAGAAGTTTTAATGGTTTGTTCGATGATTCTGAACGTGCTTCTTACCATTAGCACACC